TTCACGGTTCAAATCTTGGCCAGTGCCTAAGACACAAATACCCTTTTTGTGTGCATAAAAAATATATGTAATGGAAACGTTTAATAAAAAAAAAAATACGATCGTTCGTCCTGAGGTTTGTTTTTGTTATTTTTGAGACTGTCAGTTGCGGCACAGTAATTAGTATTTTGTGTGTACAGGGACTGTGGTATATGTGAACATTGTGTACAGCAGGTACAGATTCTGTTCAGTCCCCCTTTTAAGACCCCCTGCTGGCCAGCCACAGAACTTTTCTGTTTCCTTGCAGGGTCTATGTCTATAACCCCTCACCCTCCTGAAGATTTACCCCCCTTCCTGACCAGGCCATTTTTTGAGATACGGCTCTGCGTTACTTTAACTGACAATTGCACGGTCATGCAATGCTGCACTCAAATTAAATTTATGTCCTTTTTTTCACCACAAATAGAGCTTTCTTTCGGTGGTATTTGATCACCTGTGTGCTTTTTATTTTTCATGCTATAAACAAAAAAAAAAGGCTGACAATTTTGAGAAAAAAAACAACATTTTGGACTTTTTGCTATTAACCAATTCAATACCGGGCAATTTTACACCTTCCTGCCCAGGCCAGTTTTCAGGTTTCAGCGCTCTCACACTTTGAATAACAATTGCGCGGTCATGCAACACTGTACCCAAACTAAAATTTTATCATTTTCTTCACACAACTAGAGCTTTCTTTTGGTGGTATTTAATCACCGCTGGGGTTTTTATTTTTTGCTAAATTAACAAAAAAAGACCCACAATTTTGGAAAAAAAAAAGTTTTTCTTTGTTTCTGTTATAAAAGTTTACAAATAAATAATTGTTCTTCATAAATTTAGGCCGAGATGTATTCTGCTACATGTCTTTGGTGAAAATAACCCAAATTAGGATGTATTATTTAGTTTGTAGGAAAGTTATAGAGTTCACAAAGTATGGTATAGATCTGATTATTGATCGATCCTGAAGTACTGACGGCCGATCTAATTTCTTGAGGTCCAAGAATGTCAGGACAGTACAGATATCCCCCAAATGTCAGAACAGTACAGATATCCCCCAAATGTCAGAACAGTACAGATATCCCCAAATGTCAGAACAGTACAGATATCCCCCAAATGTCAGGACAGTACAGATATCCCCCAAATGTACGTACGATGTACTTCATAAGAGGAATGGCGAGTTTTTTTGAAGTTGTATTTTTTTTGTCATAATTTTTCGGAAAATGAAAAAATTTAAAAAATTTAGTTTCACAATTTTTTTTTTACATATTGTCACAGTGCAGTACAGCGTCAAATCATATAACTGGTATGGCGGTGATCAGGGACACTGACTGGTGACAGTATGGAAAAAAAAATTATATATTTTTTTTATTATTTTTTATTACATTTTTTTTAAAAAAAATTTTTTAAGATTTTTTTTTACATATTTCACCATGACAAAGTAGTACAATGTTACCATAGTAATCAATGTACTACTTTGGGGACAGTGATCAAAATTTTTTTTTTTTTTTTTTTTTTACACAATTTGCTTATAGCAAAGAATTTTTGCTATAAGCAAGCATTTTACCTGAATGACCAATTCATTCAGGGTTTTTTTTTTTTCTTTTTTTTGTGCTTACTTTGATTTGGCCACAGTAATTTTTTGACATGTTTTTTGATTAGCTGTGACCATTCACAGCTAGGCAGTAGTATACAATGGATGGCATGAATGAAGCCATCCATTGTATACAACTGTCATGTGACCTGCTGTGATTGGTCACAGCAGGGCACATGGTACTGGCAACGGCGCCGAATACTCAGATCTGTCATCGACCGCGTCCGAGGTACATGGCCGGTGACAGATCACTCCGCTGCGCCGCCCTGCAGGAGCGCAATCTGCACATGTGCGGGAGGACGCCATATGGCGTCCACCCGGAACGCTGATGACATTTGCTAAAAAAAATCCCGATACACGTGTAAATTAATTGGTGTTTGTGCAAGTTATAGCGTTTGCACATGGCGGTGTAGATACTGGAATTTTTTTTTTTTTTTTTACTAGTAATGGCCACGATCAGCGACTTATAGCAGGACTGTGGCAGACATTCTGACACTGGGGGTAACTGACTTGGTGTCACTGACATCCCTAGTGACACCAATACAGTGATCAGTGCTAATAAAGAGCAGGAAGAGGTTAACATCTGGGGCGATCAAAAGGTTAACTGTGTGGTTTTTTTTTTTTTTACTGTGTGCTGTGTGTGTGCTTTACACTGTAAGCACACTGCTTTGTATGGTTCTGCCATGCAGAGCCATACAAAGCAGTGTGCAGGAGCTGACAGGGGAGATATCTGTGTTGTTTATACACAGGTCTGTCCCCGTTGGTGATACTCAGCCGAGGCTGTGTATATACACGTGATTTTGCGCAGCCGTGCCGCCCTTTAGCAGTAGGTTCAATGAGACAAGATAGCTGCCCCCCTTCCCCCATAACTATTACCCTGAATGCCAATGACACCCAGTGGCAGCAGTAGGGAACTGCAGCAATCCGAAACAGAGGAAAAAACCATTTGAAGAAAACTGCAATTTCTACTGCCCAAGTGAGCCAAATTTTCTAGATGCCGCTGACGACAGGGTAGCTACATCTGAAAATGAAAGAAGTCTGCCATAAGCAGGACAAACCTTAGCCTACACTTTTTAAAATCAGTCACGATGGACATAGAAGAGTTAGGCCCCATGTACACGGGACACTTCTGAACAATGGAAACTGACTGCTGGAAAACGTAGGTTAAAAAATGTCTGTTTAGCTGCGTTTGCATAACGCGTTTAAGTGCGTTTGCTTTTAGAAGCGTTTTTTAAAGATAAGCAAAGGAGAATCTCCCAAATGCCCAGAATGCACTGAAAAGTGGTAAATTATTAACTATTTCAGACTGTTTCAGAGAAATACAGAGAGTAGAAGCAGAGGCAGCAGTATGTGTTGAGATTAGCTTAGGTGTGAGTTGCTCATTAACATTTCTTTTGTTTCCAAGGGTGGGAAAGGTGTCTGGTGGAGGGAGTCATTAAGGCCACCTGGCAGGGGGTCTGCATGAGGAATTTGAGGTGTGAATTGGTCATTAACATATCTTTTGTTTCCAAGGGCGGGAGAGGTCTGAGGTGTGAATGGTCATTAACATATCTTTTGTTTCCAAGGGTGGGAGAGGTCTGAGGTGTGAATTGGTCATTAACATATCTTTTGTTTCCAAGGGTGGAATAGGTCTGAGGCGTGAAAGGTCATTAACATATCTTTTGTTTCCAAGGGTGGGAGAGGTCTGTGGTGTGAAAGGTCATTAACATATCTTTTGTTTCCAAGGGTGGGAGAGGTCTGAGGTGTGAATTGGGCATTAACCATGTATCTTTTGTTTCCCAGGGTGGGATTAACGTATCTTTTGTTTCCCAGGGTGGGAGAGGTCTGAGGTGTGAATGGTCATTAACATATCTTTTGTTTCCCAGGGTGGGAGAGGTCTGAGGTGTGAATTGGTCATTACAATGTATGACAAGCTTGGTAGGAACATCCTGTCTTCAGTGTTTTCTCCATTTGAGTACCTTGAAAACGCTTTGCATGCATTTTTCATGATGAAAAAAGACTCTGGACAGCATCAGGAATTGGAAGAATAAAAAAAAAAATTAAACCGCAAACGCAGATAAGCGCGATTTGCCGCGTTCACAAGCATTTTGCATTTGAAACGCTGATAAAATGGACTGCTGAATGCAAGTTTTCTGCGTTCAAAAAACTGACTGTAAACTCTAATGCCTGTAAATGAAGATGTGTACACGGACACATAGGAAAACATTAGGGAGAGTTCAGGGGCTGCTGAAAAAACCGCTTGATAGCTTCTAAACGTGAGTTTATCAGCTGCAGTGTTCATGAGCCCTTTAAAAAAAATCCAGATGTCCGCAAAAGTCATCTTTTTTTTTTTTCACAAAAGTGCTTCGCCAGGAAAGCAGAGTCAGAAAAATTAGAAAAGGAAAATGGCATTCATATAAGATTTGGACTCATCCATGGCAGGAGAATATACATCCTGATTATGAGCATGGAGACTGACAGAGACAGCCGGCTGCTGGATTTATGGATGTGGTGAGAAAATATCTCAAGATCATGTTATTCTAATGGAGTGATTTATCAAACTACGTATAAAAATCCTCCTTCATAAATCAATAGGCAGTAGGGCTGAGAAAGTCTGTGTCAGTGGAGAGTCTGCGCTGTCGCTGAACGGGAATCAAAGACAAAGAGCCGCGGCATCGCTAGAAATGAGATGAATTACTGTAAAGAAGTAGAAAAGGCCCATTACCCTACAAGACGTTCTCCGACTACCTGACAACTCTCTCCTACCAAAGGACTGTGTGCTAGACTAAACCCGGGGTGATAACTTGTACAGTATCCGCCATCACCAATGCATTTCACAGTTTTTTCTGTATGTGTGTGTGGGGGGGGGGGGGGGGGTTCTAGCTAGGGACATCTCTGTTCAGGGGCGGACTGACAACACATGGGGCCCCCGGGCAATAGTGGATCATGGGGACCCTGTGTCCTTGCCCAAACTCAAAAAAGCCTATGAAAAAAGGTACCAGGGGCATCTCATGGGGCCCCCTACTGACCCCGGGCCCTCGGGCAGTGCCCGAGTTTCCAAATGGTCAGTCCGCCCCTGCCTCTGTTTATTTCCATCTTAAGCCCTGGTCCTCACTAGTGCGATTGTCCAGCGACTTAGGACATTCCAGCGACATGTAAAATCTCAGATGAAGTGAAAACATATACACTCACCGGCCACTTTATTAGGTCCACCTGTTCAATTGCTCGGTAACACAAATGGCTAATCAGCCAATCACATGGCAGCAACTCAATGCATCTAGACTTGGTGAAGACCACTTGCTGTTCTAACCGGGCATCAGAATGGGGGAAAAAAAGGGGATTTACCGTATTTTTTGCTCCATAAGACACGCCCAGGTTTTAGAGGAGGAAAACAAGAAAAAAAAATATTCTGAACCAATGGACTGCGGACACCGTACAGGACATGACCAGAGACTGCGGACACCGTACAGGACATGACCAGAGACTGCGGACACCGTACAGGACATGACCAGAGACTGCGGACACAGTACAGGACATGACCAGAGACTGCGGACACAGTACAGGACATGACCAGAGACTGCGGACACAGTACAGGACATGACCAGAGACTGCGGACACAGTACAGGACATGACCAGAGACTGCAGACAGTACAGGATATGACCAGAGACCTTTGGGGAGGGAGGGGGAGCAGGTACCTGAATTTGACAGGTACCCACTCCTACTTCTGTGGAGTTGTCCTCCCTTTAGTGGGGGCACCTAGCTGTGATAGCCGGGTTGCCCACTGCACATGCACGAGAAGCGCTGAGCTTTGTGATTGGTCCGGTGTCTTCTGGGACCTGTCAAGTGTCCGACAAGACGCTGGACCATTCACAAAGCGCAGCGCTTCTCACACGTGCAGTGGGCACCCGGGTGTCACAGCCGGGTGCCCACACTAAAGATGCCGGTGCGGGAAGATGGTACAGCACTGGACCGAGGAACAGGTAAGGTTCTGCTGCATAGAAGAACCAAGTGGCCGGCCCGGTATTCTGACACGGCAGCGGGAATACCGAACCGGCCGCTCCATATTTACTCCATAAGATGTATTGACATTTTCCCCCCTTTTTTGGGGGGGAAAAAGTGCGTCTTATGGAGCGAAAAATACAGTAAGTTACTTTGAACGTGACTTGGTTGTTGGTGCCAGACAGGCTGGTCTGAGTATTACAGAAACTGTTGATCTTCTGGGATTTTCACCCACAACCATCTCTAGGGTTTACAGAGAATGGTCCGAAAAAGAGAAAATAGGGGAGCCAGCTGTGTGGAGGAAATGCCTTGTTGATGTCAGAGGAGAACGGGCAGACAGGTAGGCAAAGAGCAGGGTCGACAGGGGGAATAGAGGGACAACAGAAGATTAAATTATGGGAAGGAAGTTTTGGGGTTTAAGCCTTACCTTATTGGATGGGGGATGTTGGGGAGGGTCTCCCAGGGAAGAAAAGGAGGGTATGTCCTCAGGAAGTCCAGTGGGGGAAGTTTGGAAGAAGAAGAAGCTTCCCACCCTCCCTCCCCTTCGTGCTGTGGTTTGGATTGTCATGGTGACCTTGGCGGTGGTTGGTCTTTGGAGGAGGAAAGAATTCTGTAGGGAGACAGTTGGTATAAAGGTCTGGTCTAAGGCTTCCCTCCTCTGGTCCGAATGGATCACCTGGGGTCCTGGGCTGGGGTTTAAACGCTCAGTGCAGAGAAAAAAAACGTATGGATGCCCATAGTGTAGTAAGTCAAGTATTTATTAAATGAGCATTAAAATATAAGTAGTGAAGTACATACATATGTATAAAAAAGTGTGGCACAGGGTGACTGTGGGCTTATGCAAAGGGCAGCATGAAAGCTGCTGAATAAACTGACCAGTATGATGATAATGATGACCGCCGGACCTCCGTGATCCGGCGGCGTGACATCACGGCGTACAAAGGCTCCTCCTAGACGCCTTTCGTATAACCATATGTCTCCAGTAGGGGTGTGGGACATCTTCACCATCTTCACCAGGCTGTACCTTTCATGAGACCTCCGGCCGATACGGTTACTCTATGCGCATTAAGATTGCGCTTCCGGTGAGTGTGCAATCTTACCATTCTTTTCACCGGATACCACATTGGATCTCATACTGGGATAACAGAGCGGATATATACTGTCACATATTTGGACTTGCTCACCATTACCCTCCGTATATAGATTATTAGAGGGGCTCGGATATAATTTAGCACTCTATACTATATATGGTTCTATTGTTGTACAGTTTATATGAGTGCTCTATTTTACAATTCTATCATTTTATTGTTATACAGATACATTTTTTTTAGCTCTGCACTGTTTCTTTTATTTGCTAGTAAGAGAACATTAACCACTTTCAGCCTTGTTTTGCTTTTATTTAGTTGCCATGCTGCTCTGAAGAGAGTTGAAGAGTTCTACTGGTGTTCCCAAGCAACTGGAACCCCTGGGAGTGAGTGAGTGAAGCCGCATAGCCAGGAGGCTGGAATGAGGAGGCTGGTCAGTCTCTGCCCACCACCCATACATTGGGGGGGAGTTGTGGCCAAAGGTATTGTATTACACTAGGGTTAGCTCAGCTGCTCACTATGGCCATGTGCGAGGCAACCCGCCACCCACCAACATGTTGGTCATTGTCTACTTGTAGCGCTAATCCCTTGAAGGCCGCTAGATTTTGCTGGGTCCCCCTAAGCTCTGCACAGCCAGGCAACACGCATTTTCCACACTTTCTCTCATAATCAGTAACACAGTTCTGATGAAGTCACGTGATTAGTGATGCAGCTAGTTGAACGAGAGATGGAGATGTGGTGACATCACTTCCGGCGGAAGGGCCATCTTGATACACCCATAGGAGGTACACCCAGGACTTCCTACGAGGATCTGTGAACATTTTTTTCTCATAACACATTTGAAGTCCGGAAGTGACGAAACGCGTTAGGGGATGTGACGTCAAGACGCACGCACGCTAACCGGAAGTGTCGCCGTGGCCATTTTTTCTGGTTTGAAACATATGGTTTTCAGCCATTGACTGCAGATTTCATTAGAGAACCATTAAAAGAGCTGGAAGTTCCTTTTTTCAGATGTAAGTTGCTAATAAATTTATTTCTATGCCTTGATGATGATCAGTCTAAAAGAGCCTTCTTATCTTTGTGAGGACCTTGGAAATCTAATCCCGGAAATGAAGGAATAAGAAGAGTTTTGATTCCATAGGCCGCTGGATTTTGCTGGGTCCCCCTAAGCTCTGCACAGCCAGGCAACACCCATTTTCCACACTTTCTCTCATAATCAGTAAAACAGTCCTCAGGCTTGTTTTTGTTGTTTTTATTAGAGATTAACAACTTGCATGGGGTCTAGGGGTACATGGGATGCCCAAAGAACTGTAGAACTTTAGAGAACAACGTCTTACCAAACATTCACAAACATGTAGACAAAATCAGCAACAGTCTTAGTAAGGAGCACTGAGTCTCTATTGGTGAACTTCCTCAGACCCCAGATGAAACTCTCCTCATCCCCCTGGCTGTCCTGAGGGTATCCCTGGGCAAGGGATTCCAAGAGCTACAGCGAAGTAGTCCCAGATGAGAACTAGTTGGGTCTTGCACCTGACCGCCCTCTCACATCTGTGGCCCAGAGGGGTGTAGGAGTACTCACACTGTTCTGCCCTGTAACTTAATGGGTTGCAGCTGCTTTCAGGCCTTACGCTGGGGTGGCTCCTTCCCTGCTGACAGACTGTCTATCCCAAGTAGACTGTACGGCAGTGAAGATATTTATATCCAGTTCCAGCCTGTAGGCAGCCCTCTCTTCTTGGGCCCCCTCCCAGGCTCCAAACAGCAGCACCTTCCTTCAATCCATCTTCCACCTGACTCCCCTGCAGTTCAGGCTCTCCCATATTTAAGGGTTGTCCTAGCCACCATGACCAGCCTCCTGCCTGGGGATTAACCAGGTTCCCTCAAACATGCAAATCCAGACCTCCTCCCCTCCTCTGCCCCTCTTCTAGAATGTTCTAGCAGTTTTTAGAAGGGTGGGAGGGCTCCAGAATCTCTGACCTGTAGAGCCTCCCAGCCTGCCCTGAGGTAACCTCACTACCTCACTCCCAGACTTACTCATCTCAGACCTCTAACAAGCCTCTGACTCACCAGAAAAATCCTATCTACCTAGAGGGCGCTATATACTGGTAAGGGCATTATTATTATTATTATACAGTATTTATAAAGCGCAAATAGTTCGCTCAGCGCTGTACATTACAATGGGGGACAATACATGAGACAGTACAGTAACAATACAATGCGATACATGAGGGGTTCGAGGGCCCTGCTCCTTGGAGCTTACAATCTAGGAGGGGGGGGGGGTAGTGGTACAGGAGGAGATAGCTGTGGGGGGATGGAGTGGTAGGAAGAGTGGAGGAGATCGGCAATTAGCAGGGGGTGGGGTAGGCTTCCCTGAAGAGATGGGTTTTCAGGGTGCGCCTAAAGGAGAGGAGAGTAGGTGATATGAGTGTATAACATCTATAAACATTATATAGGAAAAGCAAACCTGTCATAACATGAACTATCCATTACTTATCTTTTGGAAAGGTAAAGTTCAAATATTTTAGTAACCCCCTTTATTTCAGTATATACATCCAGAATGCACCACTGGTGAAAATATCTCCTCCAAAAATGTCACGCCATGCATGGCAATTAAAAGTCCGCAGAGGGCGGAATCCTGGCAGAATCAGATTCAGAATATTAGTACAGACAGCACAGCACAGTTCAGTGGTTTGGGACTCACGCTAACTCAGCCTTTAGTTTAACCCCTTCCCGCTGGGCGCCTCCCGGCCCTTTAAGAGTTCCAGGAGGCGGGGTTTACGGATCATGTGACCGCCATCGTCAAAGCGGTCACACGATTGGGAAAGGTTCCGATCGAAATAGCAGACCGGGACCTTTCCGCGAGTACCAGACATGTGTGCTGGGAGGGTGCAGGGCGCGTGCTCTCAGCACATACCATATTTTTCGCCGTATAAGACGCACTTTTTCTTCCCCAAAACTGGGGGGGAAAAGTTGGTGCGTCTTATACGACGAATAGAGAGAGAATCCGTGAGGCGCGGCCACGGCCGTAGGAAATGCCGCGGCTTTGGCCTATCTCTGGAGCGGTCGGCCATCTTAGTACACCCGGCGGTGCGCGCTGACGTCATCACCCCCTCTGCTCGTGGATCAGCCCTGAAGACCGGAACGGCGCGGGAACACGGCGAGAGGAACGCGCGGAGCAAAGGTAAGTGAATTGACACAATATGGGGAATGAATTACTATAGGGGGGATGAATTACTATAGGGGGGATGAATTACTGTATGGGGGATGAATTACTATGGGGGATGAATTACTATATGGGGGATTAATTACTATATGGGGGATGAATTACTATAGGGGGGATGAATTACTATATGGGGGATGAATTACTATATGGGGGATGAATTACTATGGGGGATGAATTACTATAGGGGGATGAATTACTATATGGGGGATGAATTACTATATGGGGGATGAATTACTATGGGGGATGAATTACTATAGGGGGGATGAATTACTATATGGGGGATGAATTACTATGGGGAATGAATTACTATATGGGGGATGAATTACTATGGGGGATGAATTACTATATGGGGGATTAATTACTATGGGGGATGAATTACTATATGGGGGATGAATTACTATATGGGGG